GAATCAACAAGGCGAACTTAGCACAGTGCGTAGGCAACTGGCTGAGTCAGTGGGATCGTCAGTTCGAATCCTACTGAAAGAAGTCTGATGAGGAAATGTGGTGATTTCCGAAATAGCTACCACTTCTACCATTTTTTCAAATTATTGTTGCTTTTCCAGAATAAATTTTCATTAAAAAATGGCCTCGAGCTCAATAAAAATTGTTGAATATAATTGTTGTAAGGGCATAAAATAACAAAAAACAAATAACTTAAGGACGACCACACCTAAAAAGTTAAACATTCTAATAATAGAAATATTAACAAAAAACCAACAACCACATGATCAAATGAATTGCAGCGGAATAGCTGCGCTTGATTGTAGTTGGCTAAACATGTGAAATAGTGGAAATAAGCAACAAGAATTAACAAGGCGAACTTAGCGCAGTGCGTAGGCAACTGGCTGAGCCAGTGGGATCGGTTCGAATCCAACTGAAAGAAGTCTGATGAGGAAATGTGGTGATTTCCAAAATAGCTATCACTTCTACCATTTTTTCAAATTATTGTTGCTTTTCCACAATAAATTTTCATTAAAAAATGGCCTCGAGCTCAATAACAATTGTTGAATATAATTGTTGTAAGGGCATAAAATAACAAAAAACAAATAACTTAAGGACGACCACACCTAAAAAGTTAAACATTCTAATAATAGAAATATTAACAAAAAACCAACAACCACATGACCAAGTGAATTGCAGCGGAATAGCTGCGCTTGATTGTAGTTGGCTAAACACGTGAAAAATTGGAAACAAGCAACAAGAATTAACAAGGCGAACTTAGCACAATACGTAGCCAACTGGCTGAGTCAGTGGGATTGTCGGTTCGAATCCTCCTGAAAGAAGTCTGATGAGTAAATGTGGTGATTTCCGAAATAGCTATCACTTCTACCATTTTGTCAAAGTATTGTTGCTTTGCCACAATAAATTTTCATTAAAAAACGGCCTCGAGCTCAATAAAAATTGTTGAATATAATTGTTATAAGGCCATAAAAAAAAAACTTAAGGAGGAGCACACCTAAAAAGTTTAGCATGCTAATAATAGGAATATTAACAAAAAACCAACAACCACATGATCAAGTGAATTGCAGCGGAATAGCTGCGATTGATTGTATTTGGCTAAACATGTGAAATAGTGGAAATAAGCAACAAGAGTTAACAAGGCGAACTTAGCACAGTGCGGCCTCTAGCTCAATAAAAATTGTGGAATACAATATACTTTTGTTCAACAAAGTAAACAAGCAAACAAATCAAAATGGCTGTAATGGTGAACAGAAAGTTGCTACCAGGTATTAGAAAAATAAATACACTAAAATGAAGGGATGTTCAACAATCTACTTTTGCTTCACTACTATCTCGATAATATTAGGGAATAAATGAGTATAATGTGTTTTTTAAAATATGTTAAACAGTGAGCTATACGTAAAAGGTGTTCAGCCCTTCTTCGCCAACAGAGAAAGGAGAGTTATACTTAGTGAGGGTTATAATCCCTAAGCGCGGCCAAAGGCCGCCTACGCAGAAAAGTGTTCCAGGGGCGCTATGTTGGTTTGTAATAAAAACCAATATATTATAAAACCTAAAAATATAAGTAAAATATTCTGCGATATTACTTTTGACATTATTTAATCATCTGGCAGCATCAACCTCGTTGTTCTATTGCAACCCTTGCATGTTTACTACTTCTTTAAATCTTTTATCGTGGTTAAATTAACAAAAATAGCCTACTACTTAACAGAAAATGGTGATGTGCAGTAAAAGTGTTTACAATTAACAGGTCTATTCTGCGCTGGTAATAAAAAGTTTGTAACTGGTAAATCCTGTAAATTTTTAAACCCTTTTCGCATTCTGTGTACTCATGTAACCGGTAAATTTTGTTACCATCTCATAAACTGGTAACAAATTATTGCCCCGTGAAATATGCATTGCCAGGATTCGCACAATTCTTCATAGATGATGTTATTACCACCCGCCTTACCTACCACACATAAACAAAATTTATTCATGCCTGGTCTCAAGAATAACACGAAAGTAGGGAAGAAACCCGAACACAATAAAAAAGGAACGGAAGCAAAGAAAAAAAGGAAAAGCCTGTCCTGTCAGGTGGAGTCGCCCCACCCCCTCTGCTTGTCTCGCATACGCAGCCATGGGCGTTGCGCTGACTCCTAACATTATTGCAACGCCCCCTTTGCCTGACTTAGTTCGTCTGCCTATACGTCTATCAGTCTCGTCCCAGTCGAGTCATCGGTCTACGCCCTCATGTCCCCTCATGGACCCTAGTGTAACACCCACACCAAAAATGAAAATATTCAGCACTACATTACGAAACCCTTAGCCCTTCAGATGTTCAACAATAACATTTCCATGCGTTCCTCTTTTTTTATTTAACGAAGCTTCGCTTCATAACAAAGTTAATTAACGCCTAAAGAACATATAGAAACTAAGTATTTATAAAAACTAAATTCAATTCAACCACCCAAGTGCAGATTCAAGCATATATGTGCACAAGTATATGTATGTATAACTACCCTAACATGTGAATGAGTTGCAGCTATAATTCCATTAAAAA